TTTGTATAGCCAACAACAGCTGCAGTTGGACAGTTTAACTGTTTGCGCTTCTTGCGCAGCAAGCGTCGCTGCCGACGTACATCATCCAATTCTGCTCGCAGTTTGCGCTCCCTGGTGCGCAGTATTTCYTTTTGCTGATCAGTTAGAGAGTAGCCTTGTCGTCGGGTCTGTGTGACACTGGCATCCTTTGCCTGCGACCATATGTAAGGTAACTCTGCCATAGCCACCTGTAGGCGGGCCTCTGCACTGGTCGCATGCAGACGTAGTATCTGTATGACCACCGAGTAACGATCCAGCACAGGCAGTTTAAACTCGTCCTCTAGGAATTGTCTTTGGGCAAATGAGAGCGTGCCCTTACTCACAAAGACACTGTTAACCTGYCGCTCGCTTCGCAGTTGTGCCAGCAGCTCCTTAATCTCGGCTATTTTGCCACTACCAAAGAGTGTTTTACGCTCCAGACTTTCCAGAGGCACTTTTAAGGATCGAGCAACTTGCCAGTTGGGCAACGAGTGGATCAGCGCTGTCGCCTCAGCTAGTTGATCATCAGGCGTCACATCGACGGGTGTGGTGCGCTTGGCGGACCACTTGACATAGGGCTGCAGAATGAAAACATGCTGAGCTGTAGCCACATCACGGTTGATGCGCATAGCTCCCCCGGCGACTTCCTCATATGCACTGTAAGAACACATTTTTATATGGGACTAGGTCAAATATTTCATTCTGACCCACCGATCGTCCAAGAAGCGCATGTCTCCTGCATTTACGGCCGCCAATTCATTTTGCTCGTGCAGCCCCGGCTGTACTGGAGCCTCGTAGAAGCTCTTACGATTACGAATTCCTTTGACCCCTTGATGTTGGGTGTATCGAAAACGTGTTGATATCCGTGTTATTGCTGGACGCAGTTGAGTCGCGCGTAACAACACTTGCAGACAATTCATGACTTAAACTATACTATTATAAATTTTGGTTGATTACTAATTAGTAGTTTTCCTCGTTGAGCACCGAGTGTTTGTCCTCGATGGCCATCCAAGCAGCTTGACAGGATTTGGTGCGTGTCGTAGTCGTTTGATAGGCCACGCCTGTTGCTACCAATGAGGAAATCAATATGTTGTATTTAGATGGATAGCGTATTTTCCTCTGAACTGTCTTTTGAATAAAATATGTGCCTGCAAATCCTAGAAAAATAATAAATATTATGCAATTGTTTTGACAACACATGAAATGGCTACCCAAACAAAACGATGCCAAGCCCGTAAAGAGAGCTCGGGTCATGCAATCCAAATAGCCGTCGAAGCCTGGATGTTTATCACGTTGCTGTTCCTTCAACCGCTTAATATCGTTCATAATAATTATTTATTTACGCACCAATTAGAGCTCAAGATGATCAAACAAACCACCGGCTGAATTTCYTTGTGTTGTGCTTCAYTTTCRATGGGTAGCACTGCTTACGCGATCTGGTAACGACACAGTCTGCATGTAAGCAGCGCACGCCCTGTCTTCGGAATGAGGACTAATAATAATTGTGCACAGAGTTAATTTAAAAAATACGCGCTTTGGCTATATAATATTATACAACGTTTTATTGATGACGCGTTTATATTATTTTTTGCATGTCATGCAAACTCACGCACACAGTTAAATAGTTCAACAATGTTTACAAATGGCAGCACTTTCTAATATTATTGTCAACCAATCTGGCAACGACATTACGTTTAGTTGTTATTCGTGAGTTTTTCTGAAGATATTTTGCTGCAAAATGGACGTGGAGAAGATTTGTCGCACTTGCCTAAGTCTCTCGGGTCCATTTCTGTCCATCTATGATGGTGGTAACGGCAGTTGCTTAGTGGACATGCTGCGCGAATTCACCCGCACGAAGGTATGTCGAGATTAATAGTAGAC